GGAGAAATATTTTTCTTCAGTTTACAGCAAAGCATGAATTTAATACTTCAATAAATATGAAGATAATGTTATCACCCAATCATAGAAAACTCTGAAAAGAAGGTACAATCAAAAGTGTGGGATATGGCGAAGATAAGAGGCATATTCTATCTGCACTTTCCTTTGACTTTTGCTACAAGCTAAATGCAGTTAGGACTATGTCTAGGATCGACACAAAACATTAGTCTTAGCTGGATCATATGATAGAGTAGCACGTGACCAATGCCATACATTTGAATTCTACAATGGGAGTTTTATCTGATGGAGATATTTCTATACATTTGATGGAATTATTCTTTTTCAAGTATATCTCATTGTGGATCACTTAATGTCACTGTTGTTTTTTGCAGGGGGGGGAATAATAGAGCATGATTACTCCATAACATTCTTCTTTTTAATAAATATTTGTATTTTATAATTAATTTAATTTTACATATCAGCCAAGGATTCCCCTGTCCTCCCTCCTCCCATCCCCCAGTCTCCCCCCCCCAACCTGCCCCCCATTCCCACCTCCTCCAAGGCAAGGTCTCCTCTGGGGATTCAGCTCAGCCTGGTAGATTCAGTTGAGGCAGGTCCAGTCCCCTCCTGCCTACACCAAGGCTGAGCAAAGTGTCTCAGCATAGGCCCTAGGTTCCAAAAAGCCAGCTCATGCACCAAGGGCAGGTCCCAGTCCCTCCTGTGGCCTCCTAAACAATTCAAGCTCAACTGTCTCAATTATTCAGAGGGCCTGGTCCATTTCCATGGGGACTCCTCAGCTATTGATTCATAGTTCATGTGTTTCCACTAGTTTGGCTATTTGTCCCTGTGCTTTTTCCAATCATGGTCTCAATATCTCTTGCTCATATAATCCCTCCTCTCTCTTGCCGGTTGGACTCCTGGAGCTCCACTTGGGGCTTGGCTGTGGATCTCTGCATCTGCTTCCACCAGTCACTGGATGAGATAGTTCTATCATGACAGTTAGGGTGTTTGGCCATCCAATCACCAGAGTAGGTCAGCTCAGTCACTCTCCCAACCACTGCCAGTAGTCTATAGTGGTATGCCATTGTCTTAAGGCCAGAATTAATGAAAGCAATAAAACCTGAATGTAATCATTTACTCAAAAGTCCTTTCTTAGGACATTCCATGTAATGGCCATTTTCCATATTAAAAGGGATGCAGTCTCACTGCCTTGAAGCTCTGTAAAGGAAAAGAGGAAAACACCTTCCCAGATATGAACTACATATTGGCCTACAATTTTTGTTTGTCCATCACTTCTCTCCACAAACAAATCTATTTCTCACATACTTCCCCTTTCTCTGTTTATCTTGCTATTCCCACATACCTTTCAATTTTTAGTTTGAAAATCACCAACTTTCTTAATTTAATATTAGACATGATGAAATATTTGAGTTTATAGTATAGAGTTCAGAGCTTAAGCACAGCCACAAGCTAATAGGTTAAAGGTGCTTAATGAAAAAACACTTCTTTCATGGAGAGAAAAATATGGAAAACTTTATGGAACATTTAATATCTCTTCATCCACAAGGGATTTAATTATTTGCACATTCTGAGTAGACTAAGAAGTTTGATGTGTAAAACAAATGACAAAAGGCAATAGGTCTATATGACTTCCATTTGTAGTGAACTTCAGCTTTATAAGAAAGAAGAACTATATATGTACACACACACAGAGTAGCACAGAGTATAGCCTATTTGTAAAGTACTTTCCTAGTTTGCAAGAGGTCATGGGTTTTTATGAAACAGAGTTCACAGAAAAATACTAAGTGCAAAGAACAAATTAAACTAATATGCATAAAAACCAAAATATTTAAACATACAGAGCTTACATAGGAAAGTACAAATAAAAAAACATGGCTGCACTATTTGAAAAAGGACAGTTAATACTGACAAGAGGAAAGGGTGCTGCTTGTGTCACCGATGTCACCACACACAGACTGTCCAGGTTGTGTCACCGATGTCACCACACACCTGTCCAGGTTGTTCTAGGAAATAACCTCCCATTCAGGCTTATGCAGGAACACCATTTAAACTCAGTGGTCACACACGTTCAAAAGACTTGAAAGTAGGAAGGGCACTTGCTGGGAAGAAGAGGGTTTAGGCTTGTGCAATGGTGCAACTCACATCACTAGAGTGGGTTACCAAAGCCCCAGGCCAGAAGCTCAGTTCTGGAGAGAGGAGGGAGGGAGGGAGGGAGGGAGGGAGGGAGGGAGGGAGGGGGAGGGAGAGGCAGACAGAGACAGAGAGACAGAGACAGAGAGAGAGATCCCAATAAATCATATGCAGCAACTGACATCAAGAAGGCAAAGGAAAACAGCAATATTGAAGGCAAGAAATAAATTTAATACTCAATGTGATCATATGAGACAGCAGAGCAATTATCTTTATCTCCTTTGGGGGGGCACATGATATAACATTGAATTAAACAGGAAGAACTGAAGCAGTACTAGCTTGTTCAGACTATGGTCCGGTTGAACCTCAGAGTTCTGTAAGGGGACTTTGAGAATCATTGCTTGGAGGAACAAGCCAGACTCCATCCTGAAATGGTTGTTCTTGCATAGTAGAGCAAACTCTGTTCCCATTATGGGGCAGCTGTTCTCATTACTGGGCAGTTGTTCCCATTTATGGGGTGGTTGTTCCTACTTAGAAAGTAGTTTCATAAAGAAGTGATCTTCTTATAAGCTTCCTTGTTCCTAGAATCTAATGCGACCAGTTTCAGGTAATGACTTGAAGATTTTTCAGTATATTCCAGAAGTCAAGGAAAGGATGCTGTAAATATCCCTACAATTTTTGAGACTTTAGCTACTATTTAGTTACTATCATGGTGTCTTCATCCTTGAAGGAAGGACATTATCAGTTTCTAATAAATATTACTTAAATGACTAACATGCCCACATGCAGAGATGAGCAGGAATCTGACTCTAATGTGAGAGATACAAAATAAAGCCATAAATATCTCAACAGCACCAGAGGTAGTTACAATGCTTCCCATAATTAGAAAATCGGGGTCATTGTTTTTATTATGTGATAAAAGGCAGGATTTTTCTGCTTTATGTTCTATTGAATATTTTGATCTATATAAGACAAAAAAGAAGCAGCAAATCTGTCTTGATATCATGTTAATCAAGCCTATTTAGTGTTAAGGCAGTGTGACCAAATTCAGGAGGGAAGCATCATTTGACCTTGCTAGAGTTGGCCCCATGGCAGGAAAGAACTTGATATTAAAATCCCTGAAGTCAAGAAAACCTGTCACAGATAACTTTTTATGGGGAGTTTAAAATGTCAAAGCAAAGGTTGAAGTGTCATCCACAAAGAGCAAGAGATTTGATGGAAATCTATATTACATAGTTCTAGTACAGATTTATGCTGCATGGAAAAGTCAGAAACTTCTCTGAGCAGGTGCCAATGCAAAAGTTTGGATCCAATTTTCCTATTGTGATATTGGTGATCACCCCTAGATATTAAACTTTGTATCTTTATAAAAATCTGCAAAGTAGCTTGGCTACTTGGCTCCTGTTCTGTCATCAACTGAACCCTCATCCACAGTGACCTCATATTAGATCTTTAGTAGCTCATGTAAACAAAAGCCCACGAGTTTTTGTACTTTGGGATTCTGGATATATGGGAGCTACTCTGGTATTTCCACCAGAGAAAAAAAAAAGAATATCTTTTGAATGCAATGAAACTGGGAAGTAATCCAAACAAGAATAATGAGTGATTAAGTGATTGGAAAGATACTTTGTAGATGTGTATTGGTCATTTTTGTCATTACTCTGATAGCAAATCTGAAAGGGAGGACTTATTTATTTTGGCTTATGGTTCAGAAGATACCACTATCAACAAATCTATCACAACTGCGAGGTTATGGGACTCATATTGGTCCTCAGTGGTGAGAATGCTGAACAGTTGTTATAAGGTGTCAAGAAAATATTAAAGTCCTCTGTCTGACTGAAAGCAAAGCCAGCTAAAAGTCTCAAGTCCCACCTCCAGGCAATCTACCTCCTTTAGCAGGATCATATATTCTAAAGAAGTGGTTTTCAACCTTGCTAATTTTATGATCCCTTAACACAGTTCCACATTTTGTGATGACTAACCATACCCCTAACCATAAAATTATACTTCTTATCTATAGTTTTCCTACTGTTATGAAACATAATTTAAATAACTATTTTGCAAATGGTCTTAGATGACCCTTATGAAAAGGTCGTAGGACCTCCAAAGGGGTCATGATGAGAATCACTGTTCTAATTGTTGTACAACCTCCCCAAATAGTGCCACCACCTAGGGATTGAGTGCTCAAACATACAAGCCTGTAGAACACATTTTACATAGAAATCATGACAAGATCATGACACCTTCCTTCTCTTTGTAGTAAAGGAATCCCAATGCATACAAAAGTAATCCCATTCCCAATAAGTTAGGGATCTGACCTCCAGGCCACACATTTCAGAAGCAGAATCAGGAAAACATTAACATGCTTAATATAGTTTTTCTTTTAGTTGTATGCTTATTTATTTTTATTTTATATTTAAATTACTTTTCTAAGAAATTTTCATCAAAAACTTTACTCATTCTAAATGAGTAGTATTATGGTTAATGCATAAAAGCACCTGGGAAAATGGGAACTAGTTGCTAGAGAAATGAATCAGTGGTTAAGGGCACATGCTGCTTTTTCAGAAGACCTAAGTTCAGTTCTTAGCATGCACATTAGGCAGTTTATAATTGTCTATACACCAGCATCAGGGGATCTGATGCCTTCTTCTGACTTCTTTGGGCACACACACACACACACACACACACACACACACACACACACACAAAATAGATGAGAAATGATTGTGGAAAATTTTCTTGATTCCTCAATATAGCTTTCTTTGTTCAAGTCCTACCAGCTTCTTGGGGGAAGTTCAGGAAGCATTCTCCCACTATATTTGCCTTGTCCTGACACGTATGCTCATTTTCAGAGCTGGAGGCTGAGGAGTGGTGCAAACACCTTTGCATGGAATGCCTGGGGACAAGGCTGAATGACATCAGCCTAGGGGAGCCTGACCTACTGGCAGCTGGGGTGCAGCGGGAACAGAACGGTGAGTGACTACCTACTTTTCTACTGTGTCAGCCGGGCTTGAACTGGAGAGCTCCTCAGAGATGTCTCAGAATATTCATGGTTTGAAGAATTTATTTTCTTTAAGGATATAAATGCTGGTCCTGAACAAATTCCTGTGGAAGCCACACATACAAAAATATATGAGCAGAACAAGTTGAAAATGATGGATGGGTTATAAAAACAAACAAGGACAGTAAGTTTGGTGGTTAGAGAAGCAAGGTGAATCTGGGAAAAGTTGGGGAGGGGAGATAAAATAATCAAAATACAATATATGGAATTCTTAGAGAATTACTAAAAATATTGAAAAAAGAAATCAAACATCAACAGTATTAAAATTTTAGTGGTATAGCAACTAGAGAAAATTCTCATGTTTAATAACTCAGGTTCCTGTTTTCTTGTTAGTGACAAAGCCATAAGTCTAAAAACTTAGGTAGTTATTATGGTTTGCACATATGGATTTTTAATGAATAATATTTTTATCTTCTTTGATGTTTAATATAGATTATTATATTAACAAATTTGGCTTATCTGGATATTAAATCATTCAGAGTATTTGGCTAGTATTTCTACTGTTAGGAAGGTCGTTTATGTGTTTACCTAATACAATGCTGTTTAATTTCACATTTGTGTCTTTAATCTCATGATAATTTGAGTCTCATAGTCTTGATTAGTAATGCTAATTAAACCAGTTTCATCTAGTAATATATTGTTCAATGTGATGTTTTAGATTATGTTTGTAATAACATTTAATTAATCATCAGCCCATTTTATCTAACTGCAAAATTATCATCACAAGTAACAAATCTAGAATCACAAAAGTAGAACATTTTCTGTGATGTTCAATTAGTTTTATAGATAAAACTTGATCCTGCTTTTTAAAAGAATTTGAGGAGTTACCAGTAGCATATAAATTAATAGCATTGGTAAAAGCATGTCATGAGAGCACTTGGTGATTATAATGTTGTTGCTACTGAGAGCAATGTTGTTAACAAGCATCATTATCTCATAGTCTATTAAAAGACTATGTTTTCTTTGTAACTAAAATGAGAAACCAAATAATTTCTTGCTGACTGATCAAACACACACACACACACACACACACACACACACACACACACACACACCAGATGCTGCCTCTTTGGATAGTTTCTACAAAATCATCAATAAATTCCTATAACTCTTTTGCAGTGTTTTACAATATTTTCATCCTCTCCCGCACTCCGTCAAGTTTTCTGGTTGCTGTGGTACAAAAAAACCTCCATAACTGTGCTGTGTAACATACACTCCCCATTCAAAGTTTAAGAAGTTAAAGCTGTGACTGATAAATATTTTTCAAGAGCACAAGGAAATAGGAGAGATGAACAAATTGAGCTTGTGGGTAGAAAGACCATGTGTACCTAGTATAAACTATTTGCTTTCACATCAAATAAATGGAATTGCATAAGGTTTCCATCCAAATGGATAATGTAATCTTTTCAGTGTATTACAATTCTGTTTCAAATTTGATGATACTCTGGATTTGTCTGGAATCTGAAAGAAAATTTTCAATATGTACTCCGGGATATGCAAACATTAAATTATATGCAAGACCTTAATAAGAAAGCATAAGTTTTCCTCTTTAAAAGACCTTTATAAAAATAAAGTACAAGCTTTCTTTAAAAAAGAAGCATAAGTGAGAAAATACAGCAAAAGCAGTTCCTCTATAAACTTTATAACAGACGTGAAATTATAATACCACCAAAACTGAGAAGAATTTTTTGATAATCTTAGCAAAGCAATAGGTAGATGTGATTTTAATTATTATTTCACAAATATAATTTTGTCATAGTCATATATGTATATATCATAATCATTATTTGAATATATATATATACATGTAACAACAATTTATATATATATATATATATATATATAACAACAAATAATGAAAAAAGAGGCCAGGAAATTAATAGAGAACAAGGAAGGGTATATGGAACAGTTTGAAGGAGGAAAGGAAAAAACGATGCAATTACATTATAATTGAAAATACTACACAGGTGTGGCAATAGGCCAATATCATCTAGGCAATTCTTAAATTGATAGTCTTTCTTCTAAAATGACTGAATTGTGTTAATTTGACAGCTGAAGATAACTCTAATATCACTCTACAAGAAAATCTTACTTTGCCACACATTCTGGGAGGCACACAAGAGTACATTCTTACTGAAAAACTTCAGTATTTAACAATAAAAAAGAAATTTGTGGGTAGGGAGTATTTTCTTTTCCCATGAGTCACATTTCCCTTGACTACTAAGACCTCCAGAACAGCCATTGTTCAAAGTGCTAGAGTCTGCATGCATCCCTTTGTCTTTCATTCCTCTTAGTGATTAAGAGCAGCAAAAACATTTGAAATTTGCTATTCATACTACATGAGGACAATAAAAAAACACCAACTCAACAAAATAACTTTTCAAACTCTACTATGGCTAGATAATTATTAATAATTCTAGCAAACATGAAATTTGCATGTATTCCCCAGTTTTCTCCCTTCCTAGTCAGTATGTCTCTTCTATATAAATGGTGACTTGACTTGAGAGCTTCCCTGAGATAAATGCCAGGAAGCTTCAAAACTTTATGGTCAAGACTAAGGTGTGTTTCCAGCCACCCAGCACAGATCCTCTCCTACAGGTTTGATGGTAGTCTTGAAAGAATATGTGTTCCATAGACAGTTTACTCCCTTATTTTATTGAAAACTTATTTATTGAATACTTCTTGCTTTAGTTAGCAAATTAAGTCTTTACAATTTACATCTTTAAAGGTATTCTTTCACTTATTCTAAATCACTGCCCCAAACTTTTCAAGTATAACAAACTTTTAAAAGTAAATGGAATCGTTAACGTCTTACTACATGCTTGAAGTCATTGATTTTTGCACCTTTTTCTTATTGTAAAACTTTTCTCATACAATATATTTTGATCATATTTTCCTCTCCTTCATTTCCTCCTCAGTCTTCTTCATCTCTGTATCTATGCAATTTTATGTTCTCTCTTTAAAAAACAAAAACCAGAAACACACACACACACAAACTCCACATAAATGAAAACCAAAATATACAAGCAAAAGACAAAGCAACCAATACAAAAGGTCTACAAATATACATTTCAGATTGTTTTATCTTGGCCAATGCCTCCTGGGCTTGGAGCCTGTCTTGAAATATTAATATACCTGGTTAGATTCCACTGGGGAAAACTAAATTTTCCTATGCCAGTGGGTATTGTTGCTGGAAAATTTCTCTCCAGCTCCCACCAAGCCCCACCAGTCCTGGAGCCCACTTATAAAATAAACATACCAACTTTTACATTATTTAAACTGCTCGGCCATTAGCTCAGGCCTACCATTGTCTAGCTCTTACTCTTATACTAAGCCCATTTCTGTTAATCTATATGTTGCTACATGTTCCGTGGCTTTACCTGTTGCCTCTACATGATGCTCCTTGAATGGCAGCTGGAGTCTACTTTCCTCTGCCTTCATCTCCTTTTCCTCTCTCCTCTCCGGTAGTCCCGCCTATACTTCCTGCCTGGCTATTGGCCAAACAGTGTTTTATTTATACAGAGCGATATCCACAGCAGGGTATCAATAGCAGGCCTCTTCTTGATTAGGGCTGGGAGCTCATGTCCATTTGCCCCTCTCAGTGCTGGGACCACATTTAGCTTGAAACTATGAAGGTCATTTGAATGATGTTACAGTGTTTATATGTCCATCAATATCAATCACTCCTGCTATGCCTGAAAGACACTTTTATTTTATTTTTGAGTCATCCATCACCTCTGCCTCTTACAATCTTTCTGTCTCCTCTTCTACATAGATCGCTGAACTTTACAAGAGTATCTTTGATAAAGAATTCCCATTTAGTAACGAGTGCTCCGAAGTCTCTTGATCCCTGCACATTTTCCACTTTGGGGGTCTCTGTGTTATTTCTCATCTTCTAAAGAAGAAACTTCTTTGATGAGGGCTGAGTGAGGTGCTGACCTATGGGTCCAGCACAATGTCATTAGATGTCATTTTATTGTTATGTTACTTTCGCAGAACAATAGTATTTGGTTTCCTCCTAGACTCGTGGCCTATCTAATCTCAAGTGCTTGGCCTCTTTAGCAGTGTCAGATCAGGTTTCTATTTCATGGATTGGGCCTTAAATCTCATCACAAAGTGGTTGAAAACTCTTGTAACATTTGTGCCACTATTTCAACAGTATATCTCACAGGCAAGTTACTGTTATATGTCACAGAGTTTGTAGCTGAGTTGACAATTCCTTTCTCATCTTGTAGCCTCTGAGTACCTTCCAATACCATGAATGCCAATCAATAGGAATGAAGCTTCTAGTTAGGCATAGCTTAAGTTCTGTGTCCAATGAGATATGTAAGCATTCTTTTCAGCAGTAAGACCTTACCATCAGTTAGGTTGCAGAGAGTAACCAATAGCCATGGCAATAGCTGCTGATGTTTTGGAGTTTCCATGGTGGCCCTTTGGCCAATGTGAAGTTACTAATTTTACAGATTGAAATAAATCATTTATGAAAGATTTGCCATTACAGATTTAGTGGTTTATTTCCTTGTTATTTGGATATCAGATGATAAACTATATATAATTCTTATAAATATAATTGTGTTTTATGTTCAATCACATACTGAGATTTACACTGACCTTTTTCTCCTGAGAAATAAGGTCTATAGGCTTGCAGACTCCATATAAAATAAATCGCTCTAATGTAGTTTGTGGTGATCTCACACTGTTCTCTAATCAAGGAAAGTCAAACTACTTTTTTTTACTACATTTTTTTTTGCTTTCAAAATTGCTATTCTTCCTCTACTATTATCTGATTCTTCATACAATTTGATCTTATTTACTTACTTCTAGGCTAGCTAAGTATAGCTATTTATGCAAATAATTTTAAAGGTGAAAAATAATGTGGGTGCTGAGATAAAAGTGGTTGTTGGTTAAATT